GTAGAATTTCAGAGGCCATTCACACCAGAAAGAACCTTAAGAATATTTCTGCATGCTTTTAATCCAGATTTCTACTGGAATTACTACATTCGTTTGCATTCGTTCTTTTCTATGAAAAAGATTAACAATGCTGCTATAAGGAGACCTCACAAGTCACCACCCAATAGCAATCTTGAAGTCTGTTTTGCTAAACCCTGCTTAGGCAGCCTGCAAATTGCACTATAAGTGGTCTACAGCTGATCAGGTCTGCCAAGAAAGAACGATTTACCCTTACCCTAGAAGTCTGAAAAAGTAGTAGACAAAAGGGAAGGAGAGAGGAAGCCCTTGTTAATTTCCTGTTCTTGTCCGGCCAATTGCCAAACTTCAATCTCAAATTTTCCCCCAAACCATGTAATCCTTGATAGAAGAAAGTAAGTTTGCTCCGTAGCCTTATAATCAGCATTTTCCTGCCCTCTCTACTGCTCTGCCTCAAATACACACCCACATACATGAATAACGTAACATGTTACGTTATTCCACTCCCTCTTTCAAAAGCTCCAAAGTAATTGGAAATAAATTTTTCACGTCTGTTGCCCAGCACAACAAAAATGAGAAGTACTGAAAGATTCAGAGGTGGACTAGACTGCTGACTGATATCTCCCATTAGAAATACTTTAATTGTTGCCTTTATTAACTATTGCTGCAATCTGCTCTCAGCCTTCAAATTGGGGAACAAACCCTAACAAAATTCTAAGAATCTTGATTTTGGGTGCTTCCCCCTCCCCACTCTCAGGCTCCAAATAGACGAGCAAAAGAAGTTAAGAGGCATCTCTTTGGTTAGTCGTCCCTAAAGGTCACACTGACAAGTCCAAGCTTTACTCTGCTGTATCCGAGAGAGGAAAACAAGAGGGCAGAGATTCCTTTGCAAAGAATCTGCTGGGTTGGCCTTTGTCACGTCTGACTTGCTATATCCCTGGATCAAAAATAACACCTCAAATGACTAACATATTTTTTTGTTGTGTGGTAGGTACACAGAGGAGATAGGAACCTGCCAAAACTTTTAGATCTATAAACAATCGTATGAAAACGTGCAGTTTCTTTTCTTGACTTTCCTTAATTTGCACATGCACAATAATTATATTTTAATCTCATCTGTAAGAGGTAAACAAACCAGCAGGCACCGTTCCCAATGACTTAGCAGGGGACAAAGCTATGCCCTGGTAGCCGGACATCTGAAGTGGCTAGCAATATGTTGCTTTGAATGCTGATTCCAAGACAGCAAGAATGCTACCTGTGCCATGGTGCGTGGTATCCCCATCATATGGATAATGCTACAGTTCTTTTGCTACCTACCTAGAACATACACAATGGTAAAAAAAAAAAAGTGCTTTTTGGAAGAAAGCAGCATATTTTGATGGATGTAGGAGAGTAAGCTGGGCCACTCCCTGTAATACTTTTGAATTGAGGAAAAGGAATTGTTATCCATATGAAGCATGGATAACATCTCTATCTTTTAGGCTGGATAATAGAGAAGTAAAAGGAAAGTAGAATTTGATCACCTTGCCTTAGAAGTTGGTTAGACAAAACATCAGATTGACTTTTAAACGGAAGATGGTCCAAGAGGCTAGGAGAAGATAAGGGAGAAATCCTTAATAATAGATCATTTCCCCATCTTTAAAACCAGGTATTACTATCCCTGGGACATTCAAGAAGAATGATTTGCTATTAAAAGGAATATATCTTTTTGTTGTTGTACTAAAGTCTCTAGTCTTAATTCATTTTCCAATCAGAAACAAAGCCCCTAAAGCAAGGAGGGATTCTTCCAATAACCTGTTTGAAAGCTGTATAAGCATGGCCAGTGATGTTATTTATTTACCAGCCACTTCTGAAGAAAAGGCAACAAAAAAAAATCAAGTACCATAACTGCATACAATTTGAGCCCTAAGTTTTTAAATTCATCCTTTGCGCAGGCAAGCTTGGAAACTCAATGTGTGTATGATATGCATCATCAGTCCTGTTATGATGTCATTTTCTTCCTTCCTTCCTTCCTTCCTTCCTTCCTTCCTTCCTTCCTTCCTTCCTTCCTTCCTTCCTTCCTCCCCTCCTTCGTTAGTCTGATTTTAAGTACGGTTACAGTTACCATGAGCAGTTCCATCAATCTTGAGGCCCCCTCTTCTCCAAAACACATAACCAAATCATTGCAGTCGCTTGCTATTATCTCACAGTAACTATCTCTATGCATGAGGAACTATTTTACAAGAGGATACCTGAGTAAGTGTTATTTTCGGATTTACTCATATAATGGTACTCTGAAACAATTCTGGGTTCTGAAAACCAAAATTACAGTTCTTGTATAGTAGTAAGTCAAGGTCTATTTAGGGTAATTAATTTAAAATAGGCCACCTCTGACAAAAGGAATAGAAGGCAAAGAATACAGCAAACCTTCTAGAAGGAATGAAACTGAGTTCCATCAACAAACTCCACAATGCTCCTTTATTTCTAGGGAACAAGCAAGGGAAAAGAAAAAGAGAACATAAGCAGTGACCAGTAATATTTTCCTTTAAACACGTATGACTGCGTGCAAACCACAGCCTGACCCTGGGCTGTTAGGAACTCAAAAGTTCACCATCTCTTCAGTTATGATGCAGCCTCCAAAATATGCTTGCAGAACCACCAAAGGAATCTTGCTGGTGGTAGGGCAGGGCCATCTTGGTGCAAGGGAGGGAGGAACGGCCCCTCTGGGAAAGCGACTAGCAACACATTGCCCTAATTCCTGGCCATTTCATTATTTCACTTATTTACCACAAGCTGCCCCCCCCCATAGAAATACATAAAAATAAAATAAAATAAACCCTAAAGGGGCTGGGGATCCAATCCACAGGGCAGTATAACTACATAATATAAAAAGGTTCCAAAACGGTACCTTGGAAAATTAGGCCAGCATTACCTGTTCCATATCAATGATAGGAAAACCAGCACCCTAAGATTAACCTGAGATTTTTCCTGAACTTTAACCTCAGCTTCTTCCCTCAGAAAGGACGGATAAGAATGTAATTAAGCTGGGCGTTTCTTTTTCTCCATATCTGCCAAAGCTGAACTTGAGCAAGAGAAATGGCAGATGCCCCCTTTACGATATGTTCTACTGAAGAACTCCTTGAAATAGCGGGGCTTCCCAAACTGAAAAATAACTGCCAGCACTGCAAGGGTCCTGCATTTGCACATTCATGCCCAGGATGTAACAGATATCATACTTGTTATAAATAGCCTCCTCTGGACAGGTCTTTTAGGTGTTCTGTCATGCCGAAAAGAAACGAGAGAAGGAACGTCTGTACCTGGTTCAGAGAGAGAGAGGTGATGCCAAACACTTCACAAAGACCAATTACATCCACCCTTTCAGGCAGCCAGGCTTTTGCAAACAAAGCTTCCTGGTGCCCATTTTTTAACAGGAAAAACACTTGAAGCACAGAAACGGTGTGTAACTGGCAAGGTGGAGGACAAAGTTTGCCATTTCTACGAGTAAGACTGGGAAAGCATCTGGCAGCCTTTCTGGGCCTCTTGGCAGAGCCTGCACAAAGCTCCAGAGCAAGTTATTCACCTCACATGACACCTTTTCCTAGAACTTCAGGAGGCCCCACGGGACCCTCCGCGACTTCGCCAACTACACTTGGCTCCGAACAGGCGCACATAAAGCACACACAAAGAGAAATGCGCACCAAGACACACGGAGGGAGATCGGCCTAACCTATTCCAAAGAAGAAACACTTGTCATATAAACAGAAAAGGTTAGATTCTCTACTTTGGAATACCACATGACAGAGACAAAGAAAAGGACTGTTATTCTTTGTAATAAGAACGAGGTACACATCATTTCTCAGCAGCAATTGTAGTTTTAAACACAGAGAAACTGCCAAAGAATTATTAGACACATTTTTTTTTAAGTGAGTGATTAAAGGCCACCTATATAATAAAAGAATTTTAATGGGTGCAGGAATGTTTGCTCATGGAATTCCAGCTGCATATTCCAACCTACCTGTGACTCTATATAAATCAGTAAACTGTTAAATGATTCATGGATCACATTTTATGACTTCATAAGAGGGTGGAGAAGTCCACACCCCATTGGGTTCAACTTCATAACTTAACCTCTGCATCACAACGGGGAAACAATACACATTTATCAGGCTTTTTTCAAGTTGGTCAGAATTGTGTATAAATTTTGAATATTTCCCCTCACCTTTCATGCCAAAAAGCAGGCACAACGTAAAATGGGGGAAAAAAATCAGACACAATATAAAATGGAAAGTACTGCCAAATGTTTTCCATTTAGTTCTCTTCAATTCCAGTTACTGAATCTTATGTTTTAATAACAAAAATAGATTACCTTATGTTTGATCTGAGGAGGAGGAGGGGAGGAGGGCAACAATGGCACAGGTGAGACCTAGCAAAGCCTAAGGAGAGCTAAGCATCTTAAGCAGCAGACACGGCACAAGATCAAATGAAGTCTGAGCTTGAATGCTATTCAGAAATACATTTCTTGGTAAATCCACAAATCATTTTGCCTTCCGCTTCCTTATCCCAGTATGTCAGATATACCTGGCCCAAATGTGGGGGTTCCATTTACAGCCCCTTGCCATGAATTGGGCTCTGTTTTTAAATCTATCCTCCAGCAGTGAATTGCAGATTTAGCAACGCATTGTGCAGCCCCCCCCCAATACAAACATTCATCTTTGTTGTAATCCCACTGGTATCCAACCTTCACCCACAAAACATGTTCCCAGTCATACAGCACTTTAATTCCAATCCATGTATAATCCAATAGCCAAACAGGATACAGTTTTATAAACCAGGAGTTCCTTAACAGCGAAATATGTTTATAAAAGTTTAAGAAAGCTACTAACTTCCCGAGGACCTAATTGTGAGGCTTGCTTACTCCCCATTAACAGTAGCTATTTCTGAGCTTTGAAAAGATTCTTGACAGGCAGAAAACTTAAGTGCTGTTTTTTTCTCTTACTTTTTTGCAGGAAAGATGACTGGAGAGGTTGTATCTTATCGCAAATTCCTGTGCATCAAATGTAGAAGAGGCTCTTTGATAGCAGAGAATTCTAGAGAAATTCACTTTTGCTGTTTGAAAAGGTGAGGAAGAGCTCCCCTCCCCCCAGCTACATTATGACTTTAGCAATAATTGCCTTCAGGGGGAAAAGACGGTTCCTTCTGCTGCCAATCACATGCCACATTGAAGGAAAAGGGGTATGAAGAAGGATAGGCCCATTTCTATATTTATCTGATTTCTATAACCACTCTTCCCAACAAATGACCCCGAGTGGCATACATTATGGGGCTGCCCTTGAAAACCACTGGGAGGCTTCAGTTGGTGCAGAATGCAGCCGCGTGGGTAGTGATGGGAGTGTCCCGATGCTCCCATGTCACACCCCTCCTGCGTGACCTGCATTGGTTACCGGTTGCCCTCCGGGTGAGGTTCAAGGTGCTGGTGATTACCTATAAAGCCCTACATGGCTTAGGCCCGTGGTATTTGGCGGATCACCTGCAGCCAGCAACAGCTCCCCATCGCCCCGTGCGCTCACATAGAGAGGGCCTACTTGGGGTCCCGTTGGCCAATGTTGGCTGACGGCCCCTAGGGAGCAAGCCTTCTCTGTGGGCACACCTGCCCTCTGGAATCAGTTCCCCTTGGAGCTCCGGGTAGCCCCCGACCTTCGCTCCTTCCGCCGTGACCTTAAAACATGGCTGTTTCGCCAAGCTGGCCTGGACTGAATGGGGTTTTAATGGGAATTTTAGTTTTTATTGTTGAATTTTAATTGGACTTGTTTGTTGCTGTGAGGCGCCCTGAGTCCTTGTGGAGAAAGGGCGGCATATAAATCCGATAATAAATAAATAAATAATAAATAAATAAATTATAAAACAAAAGCAATTAAACTGCTATAAAATAAATATAGATGCACCAAGTAAAACTGTTACTATGGATGATAATACAGCTAGGAAAAGGGGCCCTTAACTTTATATTTCCTACTTGCTACGATCCAATCCGTCCCCAAATTTCCCTAGCAGAGAAGAGGCAGGAAAATCTCACATTGTTGGTTGGGTCTAAAGCAAACGACTTGAGTATCATGCAGCACTCCAAGATGCAAATATACCCTAAGGTACAAGTATGGTCACTATGCAGCCATGTTATCCAACGGCAGCCCTAATCTTAGAAGAAGTAAGGGCAGAAGTCTAACAACTGAAGCGTGTATTCCCCAAAGCAAGTTCCATCAAGTTCATCATGGCTTCTTCACACACACACACCTGCATGGGGCATAGCCTTAAAAGAATGTTGTTTGAGAAAGGAAAGATGATATCCAAAGTTGTATCATAAAGATATGCCAAATAATTTCAGATGCATTATAGCTCACGTCTAGCCAATGTTAAAGTAGTTGGACCAGGAGAGGCCCTAACCCTAATATCTTTGTCAACATCCTAAGCTAACCCATTGCCTAAATTCCAATCTTCAGGCCATTAACCCTAACATACCAATTTGTACATAAGTGTTCCTCTGTTTTATGCATTCAGTTATTTGCAACTATAATTTGTAGGGAAGAGAGCAAGCAGCATGGATAAAAATAAACTTAAAACTAGATGACTAGGCTAAAACATGCAGATACTTGGAACAGTACCTATGAAAGAGAACATCACCAATGCAACCAATGCACATAAGGCAGCGGTAAAAGTATGTAACAAATCCTTAAATGGATATGCATATTTATCAGCCAGATTCTTGAGTGTTTAATGTAAACCAAATTAGCATACATATTAAAACAAAAAGTATAAAGCCTTTATGAAAACCTTGGTGAATCTCTCTCTCTCTCTCTCTCCCCCCTCCCTCCCTCCCTCCATCTACCTACTTACCTACCACCCAATGACTAAAAATGCTTGGCAATCTTCCTAACTAAAAGAAATATATCCAGATGATTGTATTTTATGATTATGATTTATAACTAGCTGTTCATATGTACACTGAGAGCCTATACACCAGAGACAAATTCCTTGTATGTCCAATCACACTTGGCCATGAAAGAATTCTATTCTGCTCCAGCTCCAGCTCCAGCTCCAGCTCCAGCTCCAGCTCCAGCTCCAGCTCCAACTCCTGATTCCATCCCATTCCATTCCATTCCATTCCATTCCATTCCATTCCATTCCATTCCAGCAAATAGGAAATGCTTTCTGGAAAGCCCCATCTAAAACTAAGTAAAATCCCTGCATTCCATCAGAGAAGGTGTTTTATGGTGAGGGCACCCTCATGGAAAAGGCTTGTTTTCTTGCCTCAGTAAAGGAAAGGATAGAGCAAAGGAGGCAGCTACTCTGCTGGAAATAGGCGGCCTCTCATCAGGTTTGCTGGGGAATGGAAGCTCTCCTTTCCTGCTTGAGGTGCTTCCTGGATGCATTGGATTGCATGCTGAGGGGGAAAGGGCTGGAAGCCACAAGGGGCTGGGCTCTCAGGACCCCTGGTAACAAAGGTCCTTCTATGAAAGAAAGGAGCCTGGACCTCCTTCACTGGAGTGGCTGTGGGAGGAAGCCAACTGGGCCCAGGGACTTTGCAAGACAAGAGGGATTCCAAGATAAGAGGTATTACCCAGCTGGATCCACAGGCCTCTTCCCACTTGCCTCTGGCATATGGTAGACAAAAATGTGCCATTCAGCTTAAGTGGCCATCTTTACCAGACATTCCTCTTCCACAAAATAAGCACCAAGCTTCAAATTACTTACACATCTGCCTCAGCATTAATAGATATTTTAAAAAATCCAGATACTTAACACAACTTTCATTGATTGCTCCTAGGAATTTTAAACAGTAATTCCTAACAGTAATTCTGTACAGTACCGCTATTTTACAAAACATGCATGAAAGTTCTCACTGCTTGTAGAAATTTATATTCTGAGGTGGAGGAGTCAGCACAGAAATGGCTGCAATTCTTGAGATTCCAAAGAAGCCCTACCAAATTCTCAATCCTCCAGAGTTAAAGTTGTAGAGATGCCTCCCCTTTCAGCATTTATTCTGTTTTGAATGGTGGAATTACTGTAAGTAGCAAATGCTTTAAACTGTTTAAGTTAGAGAAGAGAGAATAGAGCAGTTTGGAAGGCTGGATCAATAATACACTAAGGGGTTCAATTGGAAGACTGCTGCCAGAAACACAGAAGAGAGCAAGATCAGAAGGTCAATGGGACCAAGCAAATATTGAGAACAGACGGCCATGGGGTTGAGCCTACTGACAGACAAGGCAGGAGAAGAAGCTAATCTACAAGCAAGATCAGAGGTTAAAGTGAAAGTTGACAGGTCACCTCAACTGCTTCAGAAATCATCACTGGACTCACAAAAATGGGGAAGAGGAAGATGAACTGACCCAGAACCCCCACTTTGCCATCTGAATGAAACAAGTACAAGGAAGGAAGAAATTCGGACCATCCAGGATCTCCATGGAATGAGGAGGTTAACTTAAGGACATAGGACTCGTCCCAGTTCTGGCTCTGCCTGTGGACTCACCAGACAGCTGGAAGGGCCCTGCAATGGGCCCAAGGATCAGTTTTCAGCACTGCAGGTGGAGCTAAACCCTGAGAAAACAGACCTAGGTCAGCAGAGGTTGGAGCTGGTATGTCTTGGTGCAAGGAAGCTGCTTAAGGAGAATGAATGGCTGTCATCATTCAGCAGCAGTAGGGCACAGAGTGCAGAAGAGCCAGATCCTGTTTCTAGGTATGGGTGAAAAAATACTGCACTGCCCCAAACCCCAAGAGTCCGCCACTACTGCTAGCTGCCAAGGGCAGGCTGAGCTGGCTACATCAGACACATGACTCACTGTAAGGAAATTCATGGCATGGCCCTTTTCTTTCAGAAGGGTTCCTGGGATGCTGCTCGGCTGAAGAGCAGCCCCGTGTAAAGATTGGCTTCTCTCAGGCACTGTTCCCACAAGGCACAAGGCCTTTCTTAAGCAGCCTTTGTTTGGATGGGCGTGTTCTGTTCAGAGGAACAGGGCTTGACGGGCAGGCACTCATCTGCCAAAGGCACAGAAATCTTTCTAGCCAAGCCCGCGATTTCATCACATCAAGTTAATCACATCCCTCATTATCAAAGACTACAGGAGCCAAGAGCACAACTCCTTGCCCAGAAGACTCGTGCTTCGCTCCCAGAAAGACGGAGGCAGACGAGAGAGAAAGGCCAACTGCCTAGACAGGACTTCACTTCCCTCCCTCCTTTGAAGGCAAAAGGAAAGAGACTTTTCCACTTCCAGTAGCCACATCGTTTGAGGGACTTGTCTTCTAGGAGTCAGCACGGCAACTTTTACATACCCCACAGTGAAAATCAGTAACAGAGGTCCAAGGACTGAATAGTCACTAAAGCCACCCCTGTTCTCCAGAATAGTCATTGCAAAGTACAGGACACTCATCTCCAAGAGCACCTACTTTTGTGAGGAAGTTCACTTGGATAAAACACTCACTTCTGGAAAAGCCTGGCTCAATTCGGACCTTGTACCCAACCAGTTGCACAGGCGGAAAACAAATCATCTCTCCTTGTCTTCCAACATCACGTCAACTGCAAGGGACCACGTTGGGTGTCTGCACCTGGCAAGCTGGTTAAGGTTTGCTGCGGGGGAAAGACCTTAACAGTATCCTCCAAATACAGCCATTTGAGGAACAGAGGATCACTCCCTGCTGCCAAATGGGCAGGATCCGCTTGCTAGAGGTATTACGAGGCTGCATCGTCTATAGATAGCAGTCAGGTCCAGAGCACGTTAAGGGCTCCCAACAAGCGTCCGGGAGGAGGGACCACAAAACTTTTTGGAATAAAACACACCTGCTGGAAATCACCTTCTCTAGACAGGCGGCTGCTGGAGCACCACAGAAAACAGCCCTTGCTCCTGTGGCGTCTAAGGGGTGGCAACCAAGGACTGTCCCCCCCCCCAAACAGAACCGCCGCCCCAAAGGATTTCCAGGCTGCCAAGGAGGCCTAGGAGGAATGGAAGGGGTGCCAAACGAAAGGAACCGGGGCTGAGGGGGCTCTGCTTCCTCCAGAGGCAAAGGGCCACGGAGGGATGGGGAAGGCTGCTTAGAGCTGGGCTGGGCAGCAAAGAACATTTCCCTCGACTCTCCCAAAGGCAAAGGCAAGGCCTCCGAAGCAGCCAAGGGGCCTCTTTCCGCCAACCGAGATCTCCTCCAACTCTGTGCCAGGCGCTGCTTGTTTTCATAGCCCCTTTTCAGGCCAGGGGGGAGGCCGGAGAGGCCCGATTCCCTGGGAGCCCACTGGGTCCCAAAGGCAAAGGCCCAAGCCGTCCGGGAAGCAGGTCTGGGTCATCCACAGCCGGCCCTCAGCCTTTCGCTTCGCCCTCCCGCAGGCCCTCCGGGAGCCGCGGCGGCTGTCATCGCGCCCTCTTGACACCGGACAAGGGCCTGTGGAGCCAAGAAGCGCCCCGGCCCTTCTGCGTCCGCTAAAAATAGCCCGGGAGGATTCCGGGGGCGGCGGGTGCCGATTCCAGCTGCCCTTCGGCGGGGACTTCCCGGCCGGCCCAAAGCGAAAGTGCGGAAGAGGCAGCCGACTCTCGGGAGAGGCCAGGAGTTAGGCCAGCCCGGAGGAAAGAAGGATGCGGCGGCCGGTCGGGAGAGGCCGGGAAGCGAAGGCGAGGGGGACCCGGGGGAAAGCCGCCAGGCAGGGAAGGCTTCGGCTAACAAGTGGGCAGAGGCCGGGGACGCCCAGAGGGGAAGCGGCGCTTGCGGGGCCGACGGGTCCCGGGCGGGCTTGGAGGCGGCTCTCGGGAGCGCTTGGGACGGCAGCCGGCTCCCCACCACTTACCCTGCTCGTCCTCGGCCGCCGCCATCCCGGCTCCGAGGAGGCCCAGACCGAGAGGCGAAACCTCGGCCGGATGGCCTCCCGGAGACCGACCGGAAGGAGCGGAGGAGAGAGGGCGGCGGCGCCCCTTTTCCGCCCGCTTCAGGCCCCGCTCGCCCCTTCCTCGCTCTCTCTGCGCGTGTGCGTCGCTGGAGCGTCCCCTGCTCTTTCGCCCCGGAACTCCGGTGCGCCGGATCTTCTTTTCCGCCCGGAGGTGTTTCTCGGCTGCTCCGGGGCGGGGTCGAGGCACCGGGCAATCTCGTGGGGCGGAGCTTTCCTCGCGCGCCCGGGCCGTGAAGTGGTGGTAGGGGGGGGCGCTCCCGGAGGGGAAGGCGGGGGAGGCGAGGGTTCCCCTCTGAGCCGGGGCCGAGGCCCGCCTCTCGGTCGGTCGGGATGGGCTGAGGGAGGCCGCAAATGAGCGGGAGGCTTCGCTTCGCCTGCTGGCCTCGCCGCCCTCCCTCTTTCTCTGGGTGGCCTCGCTCGCTCTCTTTCGATGCCCAGATGCCTCCCGACTTTGGGGATGCGCTTCCGAGAGAGCGGTGGCCAAGGCGGTCCCGCCCAACGAAGCAGGGTAGAGAAAGGAAATACCGCTGGAGGAGACTTGTCTTTAAAGAGGGAGCTACAGTCTGCATCCTAACCAAGTGAATTCCTCCACAGACGCCTTTTCCCACTGTAAATTTGGCCATTTAACCAAAAATAACCTCGTCTGTCTATTCAGCAGAACCTATTCTCAGGGATGCATATTGAATCGGTTAATCTGCTAATCGGTTCCCTGGGAGTGAACTCTGGAATTCAATAGGATGGGCCGTGTTACAAGGTTTATGTGGACTTATGGGCTGCTTTTCCGGAAGCGTTGGATGCAGCGCAATGCAAGTGACTAGCACCGGTGAGGTTATCTAGTCTGGATAATGAAACGCCTGAAAGAAAACAACCAAGCTCAGAGAGCACCAGGAACCAACAATTCCTTCCTCTTTGTTACCCCTCTTAATGCAGAAACGTTGGCTGGCACACAGTGATGCAAAGTGTAGATCCAGTAACCAAACTGCACAGATTTTATAAGTGCC